ATTTGACCTCAGTTGGTGCCTCTCAACAGCTGCGCTTGGACCCGGAGGACAATGAACACGTTTGCTTGGATCCACTAATTGACATGGCAGAGAACAAACCGCAATAATCTTTGCGTTATGAGATTTTGTCCCTCCCTCTCCGTTTTAGGTTGTACTCCAACCACCAACACACACCCAAAGTGATATTTAGCACGATATTACTTGTTATTCTTTTCGTTTCTGTGACCTGCAACGTTGAGTATCTTATCCTCTTGTACTGCGGCACTGCAGTACGAACATAACTGAATTGACTTTAGTAATCTCCACTGATCTGTTAGGTAAGCAACCAATTCATGTGCTGGTAGACGCATGCATTTCGTATTGTCCCCTCAGTACCATTAACATTAATCGGTATGCAACTAATTCCTTAACTATGTGTGTGACCAAATAAGTTCACTTGGAGTCAGCCGAGCCCAAACGTTTGAGTTTATTAGCAACTCACGCAAGCCTACTACATGTGATAGAGCATCGGTTTGTTGTCGTGTAGCTTTACCCAACCTTTGTAAATCCATTCTCAACCGTACTAGACAAAATCGGAATACTCGGTTGGAGAACTCGCTTACGAACAGCCAGGATTAGGAGCCAAATGTTTGTGATCCTACTAACTACGTGGTGCATTTGCCAGACTTACAACTTGAAACGTTGCAGTTGGAAGCATTGTCATATGCGCCTGATTAAAATATTCCTCCTAAAAGACTGAACGGGTTGTTTATATAAAGCTCAGTTTGAGAACTTTTCATGATCAATTTAAAGAGCTTCAACCATCCAGTTCTGAGAGGGTTGTTTGGTTTAGAAACAAATTAACCGACAGTGCCCACGAAGTTAAGACTGTGCCAGTGACCGGGAAATGCGCAATTACAAGCCGACACTTTCAGGTGCAGCGTGAACTGCGTACGAAGTAGGTAGTTGTGATGAAACCAGATAATGGCTCTGAAGTGGTGGTCATGCACAAGACAAAGTATGCCCGGAAAATGTGTAGCATACTCAACGACGCGAGCAAATTTGGACTTAATAGGATTGTGAACGTAGCCGATGTTGAAGTTGGCATAGCTGCCCATCTTTAAACGCTTGTTCTTTATAGCATGACTGATGCTGACACCTATAATTGCTTGAAGCCAAGCAGCGCGCTACTTCACAGCTATACAGATCACCAAAGACAAAAAGTGTGGAGTAGCACTTAAGCCGATTTTATCAATGGTAAATGCGCAGCAACCTTAACTAGTTTGCTGGCTTGTAACGATACTTCCGCCTCTGCGACAACTGTTTAATCCATACAGTCCTAAAGGTTCCTTTAAATTTATCGATGAATTAGGTGTTATCAGCCTGGCCGATAAGGTTATGTATTCCTTGGAAGTGGAATCTCTATTCATCATCTTCCCGCTACAGCAAACCGTTGATTACATATGTGAACTAGCTGAGCAATCTGGTTGTTCGTTACCGATTCCAGTCAAAGTTCTAAAGCAGTCCTTGCTTTTGTGTACAGAACATGTTGGATTCTTTTTTTCAGAACACCCTATATCGTCGAATCGTTGGTGTGGCAATGCGTAGCCTACTAGACGCTGTACTGACCGATTTCTTCTTGCTGTTGATATAAAGAGGCAAATCAGCCTCTTCAAGTGGTCTGCAGAGCTCAACCTTCCGATCAACCCGGTCAAGTTGCAATTTATGTGTTTGGGTAAGTGTGAGCACAGCCGAATCTACACGGTGGCTGGTCAACCTTTGCATCCCGCGCATTTCGTGATCGACCTCGGTGTACTCTCACACCACAACATAAAGTCCATGGAACACACGAGTTGGCTTTACCAAAATAGTCTTAGTATGCTTTGGGCGCTCAGGCGCGGCTTCAGCACTTGGTCCGAAGAGATTGCCACTTCCACTTCGTCTCAATAACACGACCAATGCTAGATTATGGCTCTCTCGCGTATTTTCCTATCACCCGTGGAGAGGTAGGAAAGATTAAGTGATTGCAGCATATAGCCAGCAGGCTGATTCCCAACTTACAAGATGTGCCGTACGAAGACCGGTGTTAAAAACAGGGGCTGTATACCTTAGGTTATCGTCGAATGCGGGTTGATCTCTTCATGCCGCACCGAATAATACATCTGGGAGATTACTCCATGTTGAGACCGCCGCTTCATCTGCGCACACCAAGCAGCAAACTAGAACACCGGTACAAGCATGCTGTACCGGATTTGAACCGGGTCACTCACCATCTCTGTTTAGAAAGCAGATTGATGAATGTATGGAACGACCTGCCGCAGCACGTAGTCGAGGCGAAGTCGGTGTCGGAATTTTAGAAGTTCCTGGACAAACTCCTTGCCGACGCAAAATATATTGAGCGCAACACAACACAACGGACTTTTATCCCTTGGTGACATTAGGTGCAGCTACACAGAGCAAACTCTGCTTGCTGCTTCCAACCGGTAATCGGTAATCTTACCGTGCTATCCAAATTGTTGAAAGGAATTAACGGTGTTATTACATTACATTCCCTGTAACAGGATTAGTTAACTAGGAATTTCTCATACAACCATTTCCCTTCAAAAATCTTAACAGAGCAAGAACAATGAAAATTTCTACGGAATATTCTGAAATCAGTATATTTTGTGTATTCTTTCTAGCCGCTTACAAAAAATGGGTGCAAATTTCAAACGAATGTATGTGATAGGTCAATACCAAAAACCGATGGTTAGTTGCATTGGCTATCCTGTCTTGTCTCACCAAGGCAAAGTATGATTGGGCACAAAATCAAGTTGTTTACATAAGTTAGGCTTCAAAGCCGGATAGCGGTAGCCTTAGCGAAACGCAACAACTTGGGTTACACTGTTTGTCTATGACCTTGAATGCTTCATGGGGAGCCTGGCACATCGAGCAGTTGAATAATTGCCGGGCAACAGAGCTGGCAAGTAATGTTTCACCACGGAGCGAAAGGTTCCGTGGGACATGTACTTAAATCCTAGCGGACAGCCTACTCTCTGTCTGGCCAATGTGTATGCTATCGTACGTACAGTTAAACTGATAAACGCAAAAGGGGATGACAGTAGAGTGAGGCTTGTCCAAATCGCGTTCACGTAGTTGCTTTTTGGTTCTGTGGAGCAACCCAAGTCCACCTGTATGACAACACATTTTATGACACGACGTAAGTGATAGCATAACCGGATGTCATTTTCTTCCCCTTTGTAATTTAGTGCAATGAATATCTTCTTCTTTGAATCTTAAGTTCGCCCTTCTTTTGACCTGGTTTTCTCCCCATACCTTGCGATAAACTTGGCAGGGCACCCATTTTCACTTACGTTTGATGCGATACCCTGTAGCTCTTCCACAATCGCTTCCTCTATGAAGATACGGCGGGCTCCCACAAAAGGTGCACGAACCAGGGAGGACTTGTAGCTCATGGGGCGGTAGCTGTCAAAGTTTAAGTGTTGCCCCTCTTCCAACTAGGTTTTTGATAACTTGATCACAGGAGCGACTCACTTGATCATTTTTTCAAAGCTACATCCAAGAAGTGGAACTTTCCTAATGTTCCTCTTTCCATACTGAACTCGATCTCTAGATGATATTCATTAAACGTTTTGAGCATGCGTTCCGCTTGTTGGGCTTCCTCAACCATCAAAAGATATTATCAATATATATCGAGTGTACAAGTGCGCTTCGGGTATAGGGTGACACAATTTGATGTTTTATAGATGAGCTCTGAAAATGTCACCCAAAACGGGGCCAAGGAGACTGCCCATAGCTACACCCTCAATCTGCCGATAGAGACTTTTATTGAAACAAATTGAACACTTTTGGTACAGATACGAATAAAGTTCTTTAATCGATATGGCAGAACCCCACGCTACCTTCATAACCGCTTAGGATGTTTAGCAATTCTTCCAAAGAAACATCTGCAAATAAAGAACACACTTCAAAAGCTACTGTTTGCTTACCGCACACGTTAAGATTTCGAGACTGCAACAACATCTGATGAATCTTTTAAGCTGTGCACCGCCAACTCCAATTGGATGGAAGTAACTAGTTTGGATAACCATCGTGCTAAGTTCTAGTACGGTGCTCCAACCTTTAAAAGGATTGGGTCTAATGGAAGCCATTCTTTATGCACCTTTGGCAACCAAACAGCCGAGGAAGTTTGGAGCCATGAGGTCGTATTTGTATCCTGATACTGGCATCAAATAATCCGTCTTTGTGCAAACTTTGCAGCTCAGAGGTTAGTATCTTTTCAACTTCCTCGGTTCTATCATGGCCTGCCAGATCTTCAACAAATCGACTTTAGTTCCTGAGTATCGTTTGCATTTTCTGTAGGTAATCACGATTGTTCATCACAAAATCTTCGGATCCTTTGTCAGGTGACGGTATTATTACATCATCATAGCGACAAAACTGCATCAAGAAGTCAAATGGTCGTCCGTAATTATTCGGCACCTTCTGGGCTTGGTAACGTAAAATCTATTGGCTATATCTACAGATTTGGTCTTAAACCATCCAACGGCATCATCTATCACCGGTGTCATAATGGAAAGCTACTGGTACAGATGTTCAAACCATACTTAGTGTTTTGTTCAATCACACTTACTGGGGGACACCGAAACGTCGAAACCGAAGGGCAGGGCTTTTGGTTGGTGAGGACTTAGTGCGACTTTGGATAAGTTTGGTACGCTCTTCTCTGGATTTCTTGAGGTCACCTCAGCAAGACACTCAAAAGAAATAAAACTCAGGTTTGGTTGCTTTGTTTACATCCTTATTTTAACATAAGGCATGAAGAAATTTGTAGAACTTCACACGACAAACAAGATTTAGTCCACTAATGGCCTGTTACACCCGCCATGGAAAGCAACTAAAGGCCGTTGAGATGTGTGGAACAGGCGTAGCGCCGGTAAGACGTACAGCTGACACAGTACTATCATTATTATATATGCAATATATTTTCGTTTGCATTTGCACTTGCATCTGCCACAGTTTTTGCAACCCTTTGTATTTTCTCTATAAAACCAGTACAAAGTTATTGTATGCAAGCAAATTAACTGGAAAGTTACTACAGTCAATTGCTGTATTTCGTTTGTCAATTACTTATATCGGTACTTGATACGATGAGACTCGTTCCATTAGTGTTTCCACATATCCTGGGGAGTAATACCTTATTACTTCCTCCGGATAACAGTTGTTTATAGCTGTAATGTATTCCAAAATCTCACAGTCATCTTTCAATTCCTGTATTTTTTTCAAACAGCCGGTTGTCACGAACATCTTTCTGTAGTGTGCATCGTGCGGTAACACCTTGCTGAATTGTGCCAATGTGTATTTTAAAATATTCGTCGGGGCTCGATAAAGCAACGGCTCGAGAGCTTCCAGGTAAATGCATCGCTGTATTATTAACTTCAAGGCATTCTTTGCCTACAAAATAAATATTATCTCCATAATGATCACTTACTTGTGTTTTAAGCTCTTCGGAAGCGTCTGCCTTAAGATATAAGTCCAAAAGCTTTGGCAACACATAAGACTTGGCTACCGCTTTAGCGTGTTCTGGTGTGTGGTTTCCTATCTGACCTATTGCCCATGCGGCTGCAGCGAGAATTTCTTCACTTGTCTCCCGATCCAACACTTGCTTAATCTGTGTGACCCCCTGAAAAAATGTAATTTGGTTCTGGAATACCTTTGGCTACCTCAGACATAATAACACCCATTGCCAAAGTCTCAGAATGAGCTGAAATGTAACCCAAGGCCATGATGCCTGGAAGACAGATGTAACCGTCAGATGAACCCACGTAGTCAACAATAGCTGAAACCCCTCCGGTGTTCAGGACAAGTTGACTGAGCTCTGGAGTGTGTTTCGCGATGTCTCGAATGAGCGTTCCACAGTGCTTCCTCACTATTTCATCCGGATCCTTTAGACAAACGAGTACCGCGGGGAAAATTTCCGACTCAACCACTAATTCTGCTAAATCTACCGAATGTTTGGCTATAGCGGAGAGTGCTGCGAGCACTTGCCTCTACTCTCAGTTAACAAAGCGGCTTTCTTACCTTTAGGGAAGGGTCCGGATTCAACACAAACTGTGAAAGATGAGCGATTGCGCCGGCATCAACGACTGCCTGAGCTAACTCATTTGAGTGTATTGCGATATCAGTCAGAGCGCCAGCAGCAGCCCTTTTAACACTTAATTCCGGTTCTTGGACGCAAAGCACAAGAAGTGGCACTGCTCCAGCATCCACTACCGTTTGGGCTAAATCACAGTTGTGTCTCGATATATAGCCGAGAGCACATGAAGAACCTTCTTTGACGGCTGGATCAAACTCTTCTAGTCCAATTACTAAGGCGTCTACTGCTCCAGAGCGAACTACCTCTCTCGCTAATTCTGGAGAATGTTTAGCAACGGCTCTGAGTACGAAAGCAGCTGCTCGTTTGTAAAATCTCTGATATAAAAAATTCGTAACTGGGCAGCCACTTACGTTTTGTTCCGCCAAAGAATAAACTAGGTGTGGTAGTACGTTTTCCTTAACTATGGCTTCTGCCAATCCTCGCTTATAGTTTGCCAGTCTACCCATTGCTAGCGCTGCATTTTGCTGAATTGTTGGCACAACATCCAAGAGTAGTGGCTTCAAATGGGACATAACGCCTGCACTCTGCAAAAGATCAGTATTCTGTTTTTGTGTTGAAAATTCAGCTATAGCTTGCACAAACTGAATCCTTGCTTTCTGATACTGCTCAAAACCTGTATACAAGTTAATGCGCATATGTTCAGTCGCACTTTGTATGATTCTTTTTTGGCTCATGAATTCAAATCTTCGCGTTGTCAATCACTATAGTTTTAAGGTCAGAACAAACTCCAAGGACGATGCAGGCGTCTTGCTAGTTGCAGTAGCAAATGGACCAACACTGTAGGAGGACTGATGTCATTGTTTTCCGCACAGTCATTATTTTTAATAGTCATTTTTTCTCCAACTAACGCATTGGAGAATTAGGTTCCTTAACCTTGTATCGGCGCGTAATTCAATAAAGTAAATAAAGTAAATAAATAATAAAAATAATAAATAATTAAATAAATAAAAAATAAATAAAATAAATAAAATAACGGAACTAAACCGTTATCTTAAAGGCTGACAGTGGTTTTTATTACGGATACGAGGCTAAGCAAATTAGGTATAGACTGTTTACTTCGATGAACTTTCGCAGGAACCTGTAGTGATTGTGATTACAATATATTTTGTCTTTGTCTTTATCAGTTCCGTCACCGACTATCTGCTACTATTTGTTTAACTTCATCAATTTGGAATACAACAGTTTCTACGCGTTTGCATCGTGCTGGTGTTGTTTGCTGCTGCCTCTGCCCTGGTATCACATGTCCAGCTCCTGTCCAGTTTCGCATCCTAAACGTTCCTATGAGAGCATTAGGCTAAACTGGACGGGAACTACTACCGTGAGACGGCTAAAAAGGGATTTTGGCCATTTTACGGCGGGCCAATGAAAATGATGCCAGCGTTGACCAGTAGAAAAGCACCACTATGCGTGAAAATCCGGTAGGTCCAGATCCTAGCATTGCCTACCCAGGGTATCCGAATACGGATGTCACACTACTACGCACTTAGCACCTAACGAGTATATATACGGTTCGGACCTAACGTTCACCCAGTTCCTGTTGCCCTAGTTGTTGGACGTGGACACCCACCTTGGCGGCGCTTCAAGATGTTGGTCAGAAAAGGAAATGGATCTTACCGCGCACCTGAGAACATTACAAGGCGAAAGAAAACGAAAACCGGAGTATAGGAATGCGATATGTACATGAAGGAGGGTAGTACAAAGCTCGTTAGTAGCAGAAAGCGGCACTGTCGATATGGTTAACCCGCTTCCGCGAGTGTCAACGTAGGAGGCCAAGGATGTGCATAAGGAAGCAGGGGACTCACCTCATTGACACTGCATAATTTACTTCGCTCAACAGGCGGTCTTTTGTGCCGTGCAGATTGCAACCACGTTTTGATGTGGCGTGTAATGTCAGCATCCGAGGCTGCATCACCCATGTGTTGCCGAATGCTGCTTTGATAGTTTTTATGGATTACTGTATGTCAACCTACCTTGTACAAGATCGTTCCTATTTGTTCTCCTGAATGCAAACAAATTTCCTGCACCGGAGTAAGTTATCTCCACGGCAACTGATCTCATCATAAGCCGCTCCATGGTACCCCGGACGACGATTTGCACGTTATCACATTGCACAGCACACAAATGCTTGACCTAAAAGTCGTTGTATAACAAGACGAACTCACGACTCTGTTTTTGAAATCTGGGTCCTTCAGCCGTTCATCATATCTCTTAAGCTCACTGAGCGATATGAATGGCAGAGAAAGTCCCGGTGCAACACTTTGGGACTGTCGTTGCAGCATCTGCAACATTGCTTCGGACATGCGTCGAATGCCGACCAGTTTTTGATCGCATGAGACATAACTCGTCTAAAACTAAAGTCGAGTGCGATGCAATGCATCTTTGACGTGTTACATTTTAAAGCCTTCAGTTCCTGCAGCACCTCCAGATTGAATGCTGCAAGAAGATT